TCTTTACCGCAAGGAAAGCGATAAAGATCATCCCCTACTTGTTCTTTATCACTTTCATTGCGATAAAGCGGTTGTTTTCATTGTTTTAATCTTCTCGGTTACAAATCATTCTTCGGAATTCAAGGCAACTGAGTGGCCTGCTAAGCTGTTACCATATCAGCAGTGGAGCACAGTGTAGAGGAAGTAAATTAGTTGCACTGCTTACTATTTTGTGACTCTATTCCCAGCAACTAATGAGAGGCTGCATATCTGCCACAATTCCCTTTCGCCTTAGAAGCAGGCGCAAAAGATAGGAGGAATAGTGTTAAGTTTGCTTTACACAATATTTGAAAGAGCATTTCGAAGTACTCAAGAAAAAAACAAAGCCCTGCGTGAATAATAGTTAGGGCTCCAACGGATAACCTTTTACTAGTATCGCCTCATTAAGCCGTAGGCTAAAGCTTTCAAGGCGCATGGTTGCTTGAGCGACTTCGCCCGCGGTGGTGTCTGTCGTCTTGCTCACTTGTATTTGCTCTCTCACTGCTCTTCTCTGCTCTCGCAAGAAATTTCCATCAGTTGCATACCTACTGTTCCTTCATGCGTAGCCAAGTAGTCCAACTAGCGGCAACACTCCGCACTGATGCCTTAGAGGTAGAAAAGGCTAGTGTAGGCCTTGGGAATAGAAAGCGGATAAGAACAGAAGATTACCCATCGCTTCTCAAACTTATCTGAAATGGAACGAGATCAGCCAGTGGCGCACATCGGCAACGGTTGGAAGAGGGGGGAGGGCATTTTGCACTTTCGCGCTGCTTTACTAGTTCCCGTTCACAAGTTTAACTCTGGTGAAGCTGGAGCAAGCTGGTCGAGCCAACATTATGAAATCTGTCAACTCCCTCAACAAATTGACGACATTATGAGGCCCGCTGGTTCATAAGCGACTGGCCACGTGGGACAATATGAGCCACCGATGGCTCATAATCTTTTGCACCACTTTTTGTGCTGTTGCCGTAGTTTCCGCCAAACTTTTTTGTGTTATAATGGCTTGTAGAAGAAGAACTCCCAGCAGAGATGAGGGAGTATAGTGTACACGTCTTCTTGAAACAATTCGAATTAAAAATTGAAATTTTCACTAGTTGTGCCTATGCCAGAAGCTTCGAAATCAATCTTTTCGGGTGAAATTTTGATTGTAAGAACTACGCGGGGCTCCTAATACGGATGTCACATCATATTTGTCGTTTGCGCCATGTGGTACCAATAGGTGCCATTTTGGCTCTAGCAGGTTTTCGGCACCCAATTCGATCTAAACCTTCACACCTGCGTTATTTGACATCCTTATCATGAATGCATCATCACTTTTTACTGCTGCGCCGACAGGAGCCAACTTGGCGCTACTGACTTTTTCTTGGCACTGATTGCGATATTAGCTTCTACATCCTTAGCACAAATATCCTTCCTTTCTGATATTAGCGCCATGTGGCGCCAGTGGGCGCCAGCCTGGCGCCACAACTTTTCTTGTGAAAATTGATGTGAACGTACGCACTGTGGATGATTGACATCCTCATAAGGAACATAACGTTCCCTTCCGGTGTCAGCTTACGTAAGGTACACTGCTCTACTTGCCCGTGCTTTGCCAAGGGTGAGCGCAGGGGAAAGAACTCCTACCTCCCTAGACTCATCCTTAGCAGAGCTCTAAACACCGAAAAAGTGTCTCGGTGTGGCCGTCTGTGATTTACAGTGTATGCTCGAAAAAGTAATAATAATGCAAAAAAGGCAAAAAGAAGAAGAAGTTCTGCAATGAAACTTGAAATCACGCTGAAAAGTGGGCGTGGTTGCGAGGGCGGGGCTTGAGATGGTGTTCAGTGTGGTCAAACATGGTAGGAGTAGCATTCACTGCAAGGTTACTCGATCATTTTGCAAAATTCTACAGAGCGGCTAAAAAATGGTCCACGAGGGACAATATGAGCTCACAGCGGACGCATGCGAAAAACGCAATTGTCCCACACGGCGCTTTCTCTCCAAACGCGATTGTCGTCAACGTGGTAAGCTCATGAAATAGGCCCCCAGATGGGTCGGCACGTTTTTGGGAAGTAGCAAATGTGCAAAACCCCCTCCCCTGTCGCCGAACTGCTCCCAGGTGATCTTACTGCGTCACCAAAGTCTCCCTAAATGGATCGACAAAACTTGGACATACATCGCAATTGGTACAGTGAAGTTTATCTAGGAAATTCGAGATGGTTTTGTTATCACTTTGTTATTTTTCTCAACAGCTCAGAGCACAAATATTTTTGTTGACATAGCGGTAATATTTAAGACTCGGAATGGAGTAGGATGGTCACTTTCGCATTGTCATTACCAAAAGAATGCAGCTGAAGATCGTTCTGTTTTCCTTATTGATGGTTAGTTCCTCTGTTCTGTAGGGACAGGCCTCCACTGAAAGCCTTTTCAGGTCATCTATGTGAGCGGTGGAAAAACGGCAGGCAAGGGTAGGCAGTTCCGCTGCTGCCAAAGGTTCAAGTGCTGCACCTGCCCCCAAGGGAGGTTCTCCTCCTGCCTCTGCACCGGGAAAAAAATCTTCTAGAGATATGGTCACAGAACAAAGGCAAGATGTACCTATCCCAGATGCATCGCTCAGCGTGAGTTAACAGAAAAGTGGCAGAGAAGTTCTTGTTCGAGCACAACTGAGTTCCAGGCAGATGTCACACCAGTAAACGTTCAATCACTTAATGTAGTGCAATTTCATGAAAACGATGCTTCGTTTACAACAATATACCCAATGATGTGTGGATCAACCATGCCAACGTTGCCTAATGTTCAAGGCGTGGCTAGGTGAGCTCTCACATCCAAAACTTCGCTCACCTCGTCAATACCCATGGGTTTACCACAAGGACACGACAGCTCTTTGCCTCAAAATGCTGCTGCTTACTGCTCATGTAGACCGTTCTAGAAAGTATTAATGACGTGAAATGTGCATTGATAGTACACAACACCACAGACATTCATCTTCGCATCACTACGGACAAAGATGTGGTCGGAATGAAGAAAAGCCTGTTGTATATGTAGTGATACTTCAACCTGAGATATGAAGAAGCCGAACATCTTGTTTACACCGGTAGACAGATATTCTGAATGAAGGTGCTGTTAGAGCAGCACCTCACAACTATATCGGGTACACAAATAGAACCGCCAGCGCTTCCAGGTTATCCTATCACGCGTTCCCGTTCTGCCACATGCCTTCGGCAGCGTTCAGGCTTTGCGACGGCAGCGCTTCCGTCGCGAGGTCGACGGTCCTTCGGCAGCGTTCAGACTTTGCGACGGCAGCGCTTCGTCGCGAGGTCGAAATTCCATTTTTCTTTTTTTTCCAAGATTTTCCGCAGCTGTATCTTTAATATTTTTCGTTCTTCACGATTTTCCACTGACGCAGGGTGTGAACTGGTTGTTAGTGGGCCAGTTACCACCACATCGCCCCCACCAGGGATACTTTCATGTCATTGTAATGTATTGTAACGTTAATGAAGTGTAATTGAAATGCCGCTGAAGTGGCTCTTACGATCCTGTTATGGAGCAGAGCAGTTGCTCAAGCTTCCTGTCTCGACGTCCTTATTACCTCTTTCATCCCTAATCATTCATGAACTAAAAAGAAAGAGTGAACAGTGAGGCTGAACGGGAACCTCTGTGGTTTTTAAGATTTAGGATTTTTTTTGGTACTCGGTGCATCAGGCAGCGTTCAGACTTCGCGATGACAGCGCTTCGGTCGCGCGTTCGGCGCGATCGATGCGCATGCTTTCTACTGCATCGATCGCGCCGAAGCGCTGCCGTCGCGAAGTCTGAACGCTTCTCTCATTTAGCCACTGTGAGTGTTGTAACTGAATGTCGCTATCCACAATACGCAGTCAACACGGGCTTTGTCTCTAAGGCCGCGTTCATACATGACGACGTTGCAGAAATGACGAAATTGCAGACAGGAAATGTATACGCATCGATTTGAAAACCGCATTTCTGCAAATTCCGCGGAATTTGCAGAAATGCCGAAATGACGGACAAAGAAGTGATAGGGATCGATCGCTTGGTTCCTGCCGTCGTGCGGAATCGGGAGAAATGCAGAATCTGCAAATTCCGCATTTCTGCATTTCTCCCAATTCCGCGGAATTTGCAGAAATGCCGAAATGACGGACAATGACCTGATAGGGATTGATCGCTTAGCCTCACCAGCGGAATTTCTGCATTTCGGCATTTCTGCACATTCCGCACTTCTGCATTTCTGCATATTCCGCGGTTTTTGAAATCGATAGACACATTTTCTTCTTCTGCAAGTTCCGCGCTTCTCCCAATTCCGCATGTCCCAATTTCTGCAGTTCGGCACATTGGTTCGGCATTTCTGCATCAATTATGAACGCGGCTTAAGAAGTCACTTTCACGCCCTTTAGTAAGGTGGTGGAGAAGTTCTGAGTTCATGGTACCCATATGTATTGATTTCTTCATTCCAGGGCGAACTTGATTCTGTTCTTACTCAGTTTGACAAAGAGATCGATGCAGCTTCAGTTCATCAAGGGAAGCAAATGTACGTTGGACACTTTTAGCGTTTTGTTTCCATGGTTCCTCGTAGTAAAAGCGTTTTTGGGAAAGTGAACAATTCTTGCGATGCGCATGCAAATCCAAACGAAAAAAAGGTGGGCGCATATCTTGGCCCTGGAATCTGTCTTGCTGGCTTTATATGTTGAGTTATCAGTTGATGGCTAGAATCCTCTCTTCAAGGCGATGTATATTGCGGGTCAGGCAGAATCCAGAATCAAGATCTCTGCCAGTTTTCGTTTCTGAGCTCCCACTCAAAGTGCTCGTTTCTCTTCATTAATTCAAATTTTGATAATGTGCTATCATTGCTGTTGTGTTTTAGCATTGACAAGTTGACTGGTGCATTATACCTGGGAGATTTGGTTCGTCGAGTGCTTTCCCAACTGGTACTGGACCGTGTTCTTTTTGATGGCCACCCTTGTGAGAAACTGGACGAGCCTGACACGTTCCCTACAAAATACATCAGTGAAATACTCGCGTAAGTTTCCCTGGTACTATACGGCTCAATTTTCTCAGGGTTTTTACCTTTTTGTAGAGCTAGAACAAGACTGAGTGTTTTCAGTGAAGAAGAAGGCAGCTACAAAGCGTGTCGTCGTATATGTGATGAGCTCGACGTGCCTATGCATGGTTCCAGTGACTATCACATAATTCGTGGAGTTTGCTATGCTGTGTCAAATCGTAGTGCAGCTATCGTCGCAGCAGGTCAGTATTCGTATTTTCCATGAATTTTTTATTTTGTACTATTTGTTTCGTTTTTTGTTTGAGTGCCCTAATGGGGGCTACTTCCCTTGGGGCGCGTTCATACTTTGTAAGGGGACTGGATCGTGCGATCATATCGCGCGGTATGGACCCGTACTTGAGTGGAGAGGTCACTCCTACCTATTCTTGAGCCTTCATATTGATCGCGGACTAATACTGGCTCAACAGGAATTTCACTGATTGCAGTGATTCAACCGCTTCATGTCGACCACTTGAAAAATAAGCCAAAGTTGCTACCATTTGCAGCGTATGAGATTGGTTGCATTTTTACTTCATGGCAGCAATTGAGAGGAATCCCTCCAGCCCCTCTCCTCCTTTAGGAAATTTGTGCCTTCTACTGCAACCCAACGGAATCCCATAATATTATTATCGTTCAGCAATCAGTGCTTTACTTCGCCATTTGGACGTGGAAAAAGTGAAGATTGGTGTAGGTGGAGCGTTGATTCAGTTCCATCCTATTTACCATAAGCTACTGGAGGAGAAATTAGCTGACTTGGCTCCATTATCGACTGAGGTACGGCTCTTTTTGATCTTGTTTTTGGTTTAAAACTCATGTTTAAGGACTCATTCGCTGATTGTGAGTTGCTTGGAAAGTATTTGGTTCCTTGCCGACCCGATTCCGCCCCCGTATTTGCCCTTGGTTCAACTTTTGATGGAGATGACGCATTACGAAAACTTGTGAATAATTAAACAGCCAGAACTTTGAAAAGATTAAAGGCGAAGCCCGCGATTATGTATGCGGGTAGTGGAGTTCAAATGCGAACGACAAAATCTAGGTAAAATTAGCGAGGATAAGAAAGGACCGAAAAAAACGTCCGAAATGCCTTATACCGGGTCTACGGACAACTTGGACTCAGTCCCTTTGAACGCGTCCATCTTTTCTTTTTCTCTGCACTTTCTCGTGGGCCGTTGGAACTTCAGTTTTCCACCGACTATAAGTAACTCACCCACTCCGGAGTCCCCTCCCCTTGAAAAATCCCGTTTCCTGGCTCGCCATACGTTTTTTGTACGTTTCGATGCTTTGGCAGCCGCTGCCCTCTATCCGTCTGCGTCACAGGGTTTCGTAACAGGACCATGCACAAAAGTTCAATATGTATGTCACGTAAGCCATAGCCTTAGTTTAATGCGAAACATGCCTTAAGGAGACTTAGTTACAGGAGTTCTAGTAAGGGCTCCATTTTCGATGTCTTTTTTCTATTGTAGATATTCTTTTAGTGGGAGCTGGTGCCTGCAGATGAAGGAAGTGCTCGTGGTGCTGCTCTTATTGCTGCTGTAGCCGAGAAGATGAAGCTGTAAAGTGTCAGTCTTAACCACAGGGGTCCAGCCATGTCATCAGCACAGCGACTAGTGCTAAAAATAACGCTTCTTCCTTACCGATTCCGCAGTGAAGGACATCATCTGTGGTTCACGTGAAGTGTTGCTAAAGTGTTTCATAAGCATTGCGCCAGTGCTGTTGGGTGCTTATAAAGTAAAAAAGCTCTCCATTTTGTCCACATGTTTCCCTTTAAAATGAATCCCTTTTACGGTAGTCAAACTAATGGTTTTGACTTGGAGCGATGTCTGCTGCCTGATATTGCGGACATGTAGAGGAATTAGTGGTCATTAGTTGTTGTAGAGTGATAGTAGAAGATGTTTGTGATGTCGTACTTTATCGATTTTTACTTTTTTATATGACTTTATTGTCTTTTACTAACAATATTAAGCTAGCAGGCAGTCTACACATTTTCAATTTGCATTCATTGACATTTCACATGTGCTTTTGTTTTTCCATCATTGTCCCTGCCCGCGTTCACAACTAATCTGTCAACATTTAGTCTCTCTCTCCTTATCAGTCATATGTTCAAAATTTCTCCTTTTTCTCTTTTTGTTGTTATATTTAATGTGTTTAAAAAAACATTTTTAAGATAGCGAAATGCTTGTGCTTCATGTCATTATCCATTGTCGGGCATTTGATCTATCTCTCTTTATCATCTTCTCTCTCCAACAAACTGACTAAGTAACTATAACGATGATGATGATGATGATGACGATGACGGTGTTTTATTTCACAGATAGTTTCACATTCAGTTGCCATAGCCTTCTTGTTTCGTTTGTTTTTTTGCGTCATTCTCATTGTAAGCCCCGTTTTGTACTAGTTCACAGTTTTGTAAGTTTATACTTAGTGTAATGACGTTTTATCGTGCTATTTCCGCTCAGAGTTCTCTTCAAATGATAAATTGCTGAATATACGAGTTTTATGGATCTCACTGGATAGAATAACCCAACTATCTAAGTTTTCTAGTACGTTGTAACCAAGGGTTTAATACGATTCTCTTCTTAAAGTCTGTCTTGAGGAGAGCCATGTCAAACTTTCCCACAAATTTGCCGTGAAAAACGGTTGTATATGGCATGTATGAAACGCTATAAATCGGGTATGTGACAAGACAATCGCAACATGCCGCGGTGGTGGGCGTGGCATGCGACACCGCCTCTGACAGACGTGTTGTCCTTCCTGGACGTTTGGACTT